TCTCTGAGGTCTGCAGACAATTCTTTTGTCTTCATGCTTGGTTTGTGCGTTGACATGCACTATCAACCCTTGGACCTTATATAGGCAGGTGTATCACTTTTTAAATCATGTCCAATCAACTGAATTTACCACAAGTGAAGTCCAATGAAGCTGCTGAAACATCTCAAGAATGATCAGTGGAAACAGAATCTACCTGAGCTCAATTTAGAGCTACACAGAAATTCTGATTGTCGGGTTGATGAGTATAGTTGGACATATATTGTCATTACACATGTACAAGGCAACAAAATGCAATTTAGGTCTAACCAGGAGTGCAATAGCAGCAAGTGCAGGATAAAGGTATAAGTTATAAAGTGCAATTAGAGAAACCCTATATTGATATTTACAGATGGATGTACTGGAGTTATTATTAAAAGGAATTTTGAAGCATTCGCAATGGTGCCCTACATGGAAAAGCAGAAAACAAGCCCTTTAGGTGAATTGGGCAAGCTAAATTGGCCGTAGTGTATGTGTTTGAATGAGAGTGTTTGGGTGTTTCCCAGTGATGGGTTGCAGCTGGAAGGGCATTCACTGTGTAAAACATATGCTGGGTAAGTTGGTGGTTCATTCCGCTGTGGTGACCCCAGATTAATAAAGGGACTAAGCCCAAAATAAAATAAATGAATGAATATGACAAATGAAGATGCTGATAAAAGAGGAACACATGAGTCCAAAGTAAGATCCCTCCAGGTGTCCACATTAAAATTCAATCTACAAATCTGATTTTAAAGAAAATTAAACTTTAATGTTTATGTTTTTGTTTAAATAACATACAATAAAATATCAAATTATGGGTGAGATAATGTTGCATTAGGTGGCTCAGTAGTTAGCACAGTTGCCTCACAGCAAGAAGGTCACTGGTTCAAGTCCCAGTTGGCATTTCTGTGTGAAGTTTGCATGTTCTCCCAGTGTTTGCGTGGGTTTCCTCCGGGTTCTCCGGTTTTCCCCGCAGTCTAAAGACATGTGCTAAAAGTGAATTGGGTAAACAAAATTGACCTTAGTGTATGTGTTGTGGTGTGTAATTTAAGAGTGTAAGGGTGTTTCCTAGTACTGGGTTGTAGCTGGAAGGGCATCAGCTATTTAAAACATATGCTGGAGTAGTTGGCGGTTCATTCTGATGTGCCGACCCCTGATAAATAAGGGGAAGGAAAACTAAGCCGAAGGAAAATGAATGATGTTTCTTGTTCTTTCAATGTAATACCTAAAAAATAAGACCTGTCTAAAAATCTGACCTGTACTAAAGTAAGTAATCAAACTAAATGTTATTACTTTTTATTGAGGGAATATACACAATTACAGAAAATGTTTACAATTATATATTAAGATCCTCCACATTTTACTTAGTTTACATACGAAATTAAACAGAATATTTCCTATGATTATTGAGTATGGGTCTTTACAAATGTTATTCATTCATTCATTTTCTTTAGTCCCTTTATTAATCTGGGGTTGCCACAGCGGTATGAACCGCCAATTATCAAGCTTATGTTTCATGCAGCAGATGATCTTTCAGCTGTAACTAATCACTGGAAAACACCCATACACTACCATTCACACTACGGACAATTTAGCCCAATTCACCTATCAACAAGTCTTTGGATTAGTGGGGGAAACCGGAGCACCCCGAGGAAACCCATGTCAACACAACATACAAACTCCACACAGAAATGCCAACTGACCCAGCAGAGGCTCGAACCAGTGACCTTCTTGCTGTAAGGCAACAGCACTATCCACTGCACTGCCACGTTGCCATTGACATTTTAAATTATTCAAATGTAATACTGACAAGAACTAGCTGTTTGGCAGACAGTGTAAAATATAAGAAAATACTTTAAACAGTGTTAATGATTCTTGCTCTAAAATTATCTGACAAGATATCAAAACTATTATTACACTGAAATACTATTTGTGGCTTCTTTAAATCATGGTAAACATCTCATTTAAAAAAAATTAAATTAACATTTTTGTCTTTGACCTGTACAATGTTGAATCAACAACTACACAATTTAGCACAACACAATAGCTAATGTGAGCTGTTCTAGCAACAGATTTCTTAATTTCTGTCTGTTTTAGCTCTACAGCTCAGCTGGAGGCCCCTGGCAGTCTGGGGTCCAATTGGCCCACTCTATAATCCACTGATTAAACCATAATGCAGTGCATTACATGTGCGTTTCACGTCCAGATTCGCGAGAGCAAAAAACGAATCAAACGAATCAAACAGCAAAGCCTTGTATCAGCAATATATCCGTGCGCTAGAAAGCCGTAAAAATAATTCAGCACAGAAATCTGGCTATAAGCTGTAGTTAAGTCTGATCACCTCCCCTACACAAGCACTGACCAGACAGACAGGAGCTGCTCCGGAGGAAGGAGAGCGGGGCTCGGAAGCGCTGCTGCTCGCGGTCACCTGTGGGAACGCAGCCGGCTTTAGGACCCAGCGTGCGCGATTTTTCCTCTCCAGCTGCTGCGGCGATGAGGGAAGATCGCGGGGAGAAACCCAAAATTCACAGTGTTAAATCCTCCACTGAGTCATACTATCGGACGGAAACGAAAACAACAGGCAGACACACTTCCCTTTGCATCTGGATGAATACGGCAAGTTCCGAGGCATAGAAAAGCAGTTTGGGGCCGCTAAGGTAAGGCGGCGCGATTCCATGCGATTAATAACAAAGGCGCTATACTGGCGAGCGAGGGGGCATTAAAGGGGGCATTGCACAACGCAATGGAGGGCGACAGTCAACTCTCTAAACTTTGCACTTGTACATGAGTGCATCAAAGTCCTAACATCTTGTCATGACGAGATGTAACTATCTGAAGCGGTTGCATGTTTTAATACAGTGCAAAGACAACATGCGGCAACATTTGAAAATATATGCATAACGTTGTGTCCTAAACTGACCGCACGCGATCGCAAGAGCCAATGTCATTACGTGCGTTAAGGCCTACGAAAGTGATGCATCGCGCAAATGCGCGTGAATTCGCGATGCAATAAGTTTTGATATCTTTTGCATCCTCTCAACCTGCCCACTTCGTGTGCTCTCTCTCTGTCTCCCACCCTTGCGACATTACCTCAGCCATGCAGTGAAGCATGCACCGGTCCGACACCTCAGTTTGCACTGTTGCACGGCCTTTCTGTTGTCATTTCCTTCGCCAGTTCTTTTAATTGTGTTTTGAAACTAAGTTGTGAAGGTTGCCCAAGCGGTGACGTTCATTTGCAGCCACCTCAGGCCTGTGTAAAACAGCTAATGGTGGCTTGAATTTGACACGAATCAAGTCAAACTTTTCCGAATCCCTCAATAGGCCTTTTAATGTGCATAGCATCCGCGCTGAATCTAACTGACAGACGCATTCACAAGCAGACAAGCAATGCCCACCACCACGTTCGACTTGTTTGCGATATTTTAGCTTTTAATAATTCAATTAGCCCCATTGCAGTGACTGCATCTGTCTAATGCGATTGTCTCAGTTAACAGTCTGTGTTTTCACGGCAGCATCGGCGTTTGAGCCGCAGGAAGACGCGATGCTCAGCGTAGTCTATACGGGGTCAGTTTGCATTGGAGCAGGCATCACAAAAATAGGTCATCGGCTCACAAATGTTAAAATGCACATTTGTTTACGTTGATGCATTTCGGTGGGAGCAACACTATTTTGGGACGACTGTGATTCTGTATATTGCCCGATGATTGTGCTTGATAATGCCGTGTCATCTGCATTTTAAAGCGGAATAAAAGCCTATTTACTCTTATATATAGGCTATTCATCAAACGCACGAGCGTCCCTTTAACTATACATAATTATATGCTTTATTAGTAGTCATTCAATCATAATGCCAAGGTCTGGCGCGTCTCCGGTGCCAAAATGCTTTCAAATGGCAGCTTGAGGTAACTTTACGAGTCCATGTGTAATCTTGTGCTGCTCAGTAAAGAGTTCATCTGAAGAAATGCCTATGAGATAGACGGTGACATTGATTTGGTGTTGAGATATTAAAAAATGCTGAACAATTGTCTGGAGTTCAGGCTAAACTGAAAAAGTTATACCTCAATAAATGTAAATAAAGTAATATTTTCAGCAGGCTATATCATATTGAGAACATGCCCCAACCTGTTGGATGTTATTGTTTTGTTTAATAGGCTACATGAGGTCAAAGGAACGTTGTGCAGCAGATTCAAGATGTTTGTACAATTTTGATTAATTGTTATGCACAATAACATTCTGTAAATATGTAAAACAATAATAAAATGAATCTTCCAGCATAAAAAAAATCATCTGGGATGTAATAACAAGTGTTTGCTTGAATCACACTGTCTGGCGTACTGTGTCTGAGGCTGAAAAGTATGGGGTGCTTGTTAAATTCAAGATCAAAGAAGCCAGCAAATGGCTACTGGACAGCTGATTTAGCTATCATCATGCTCATTGTCTTGTCTTGATACAAGGAAGATAAGCTTAGATTATTTGTGACTTGCTGCTGGAAAAGTGACTGATTATTTCAAGGCAAGCATGACAGGAGAAAGAACTCTTAATTTGGCCTAATTTTAATGACAGTCTTTTGAGAGTATACGCTTGCATCATTATCTCTTTATAGCTGTGTTTTTGGTTAAAGGGAAAGCAGACGTAATTTCATTTATATTTATTATTATTTTTAAAGAGCATAATTAGAAATAAATCTTAAATTCCCCATGAATGTCAAAGTAGATTGACACTGCAGGTCATTTTACTATATAAGCTGAGAAAATCTATTTGAGGTGATATGTCATGGTGGTTCTGTTGGCTTGAAATACTGAAACGCAACATATGACAGTTTGTTTTTATAATAGGCAACTCAATTTAGCCTTCAAATGAGAGAAAAGGCTCAGCTTCTCAATGGATTCACAGGTGTTGCAGGAGAAACAACAATAACATTTTCTCAACAGCATCTGAAGAGTAACCTAGTAACAATCCAGTGCATGTTCTGAAACATAAAACTGAAGCTCCAGAGATATTTAGCAACAGCTGCTTGTCACCTGACAAATAATGTAAAGGTGAAGGTCAGTGGTGGGCTTTTGAGAAGAAGGTTAAATCCACCTGAGGATCCCAGTTCAAATGATTTTTAATTAGGCAGGCTTTACCTTAACCTAAGACATATTTGGCAAAATCACGTTATTTTATTGCATGTTAAAGATCTAGCATTATGCAGCATGTTTTCCCAAGGAAAAGGCTTCACATATATATAGAATGTGCGCAATTAAAGGTCAGAAATGTAAATAAAAACATCTCGGCCCATTCTGCAGCGTTGGATTTTGACGTGCATCTATGCTAGGCGATCGTTTCCTGGGTGTCCCGTAGTGGACATCAGTCTCGTGGCTCTATTGAAAGAGTTCGAGACCCAGCAGGCTTTTTACTAATTCCGCTGCAATGTTTGTCTCAACTCTTTTCGTGCCGGCCCACGTGTGCGAATTTGAAGGCGAGATTATACAAACGTGCACGTGCTGCTCGGCGACCCTCGCGTGTCGCGTCCCGGAGCAACGGTTTAATTGAGAGCGAGGGTGTATTTTCACTTTGTTACTCGGGTAGGGTTTGCAGTTTAGCGCACCGTTGCGATCCCCTTTCCCCTTGAGCGGCTGGATTCTCGCGGTGCATGCTGGGACCTGCAGTCCTCGCTCCTCCCTTCTCAGGGCGAACGCGGTCAGGGCGTGGATGTCGAAGCACTACAACTCCCACACGAGCTCGGCTCCATCTGCCCCTCTCTCTCTCCCACCAGACCAGAGACAGAGAGATACGGTACGAACCCCCCCGGACTTTCAGAACCGAAAATCGTCGAGATTAGTGAACTGCGAGGGACAAGATCGGAAGACCGGATTTAAGCCGCTATCTTGATGCGCAAACATCTTCCAAATGTCGGTCAAACGGGTTGGTGCACGTTTGTACAATCTGACATCGTTATTTGGCTCGCTAATTGCCTTTTGGAATTATTCGGGGCTGTATAGACGGAGGACTCGGTTCTGGGGCTGTGGCATGTCATAACAGTTTGATTGTTGGAGCTGCTCCGCTATAGAAACATTTCGAGGCAGAGTAATGCAGAGCGAGTTGGTAGAGGGGAGACTTCGCTGCGCAGGGATCTGAAAATCGCTCCTTCAGTTTCGTACACCTTGCTCCGTACGAAATAACGCTCTCCCCGCGTGTCACGCAGCACAAGTGACGGTCATAATAAGGAGCGTACGGAAAACTCGGCGACCTTATTAGTTTCCAAACACTCCTCGGGGGCAGTGTGGAGAAAGAGACAGCCAAAGTACGATGTTTCTTCGCGAAGGAGATCTCATCCAACCTTAAATGTGCGCGTGACATTTCTCTACGCGTGTGTTTTGTGTCGACTTCTCATTCAGACGTCATAGCTCGGCTCGCGCTTCGCGAAAAACCAACGGTCACTTTATAGTTTTTGCCAGTACGAACACGTCGGTTAACGTTAGTTTGGCCACATCGCGGACCCGTGTAGGCTCTCGGTTCTTTCCCTGTGATATAAAATGTCGCTTAATCCCCGCTCGCGGGACCTACGTTTGATTGTTTTTGTGTTTTGAACATCGGCGATATTTATCACTGACTCCCATTTCAGCATGCAAGGCGTTTCGTGTCACCTGAGAGTCTCTTGCATTGTGTGAGGCGGTATTTTGGTAGCTCTGGTTTGGCCGGAGGAACAAACATTTTGGTCTGTTTTAGGACGATGCTCTGTCCTAATATTAGGATACGTGACATCGGCTGGTCATCGACTGCTTTCCTGCATCATCCTTTGTGCATATTTGAGCTCCGGGCTGCGGAGCCCCGACGGACTGACCGGGAGACCGCGAGTGTGCTGAGCTCTCGTCTAGAGAGAAGAGACGATGCTTATTTCCTCGTCTCCGTGTATATCATTGCGCTGGTTACCCCATTCAAAAGAAGCAGAGCTGGAGAAAAACACGGGCTCCCACTGATCCTGCCTTTTCAATAATTGAGATGCCTCAAGATGAGAAATGTCTCAAGGAAAATGATCAGTTCTATCTTTAGCAGCGGATAATCATGCATATAACACCTCATAAACTTTCCAATCATCAGGCCTATTCGGCTCGATTTATGCCAGACAGGTACTTTAAGTGTGTCGACATCAGTTAGGTCTCAATTTAAGCCAGAAAAATAAGGAATTGATGTTTTAAGACGGCTGTCACCTGTATTGACAACGTGGTGCTGCTGCGCTCACCTGAATTCTGATGCGAAGCAGAGTTTACTGTTTGCAAGCGGGATCGGGGGTTTTAGGATTGGTTGGTTGGGATGGCTGTGTTAATTCATGTGCACATGTTTTAAAATTAACACGATCTCTGAAGATGAATCGTAATAATGTCGTCTCGATTGCAACAAGGTGCAACTTTATTTTAAGTTCAAAACGTTTGCATAAAGTGAGTCATTTCTATAGTGAATTCAAGCATTGCATTGCTAATACTATATTCTAATGTTTTTTTTTATATTGTACATAAATAATTAGGATTTAAATGTGTTATTTTAAATTCCACGTACTATTTCAGTCTTTAAACTTATTTAAAAATCCTTATTCACTAATCATGCATGGCTGAAAAGGTTATGTATATTAGTTTGTCAAAAAGCGGCTGAACCCTGCATATCGATTTGATCCGGAGTTTTGCAAGAGCAATTGAAATTAGATTAAATCACAGCTTGACCACCTCATTATAAGTAAACATTTTAGTAATGCATTCTCTGTGACTTGACATGAGATGCTTGCTTCGCCTTTATCTTATGCCTGTGAAGAATCTGTGTTAGACATAGCATCACATTAATGGTTGCTTTGCTTTTTCTGCACTGTTGATGTTGTCTTGATCTACTGCAGTTTGTCCCACTGAGGTAATGAGGCAGTAAAACCGGCATCAACTTTTTGCATCCTTTATCTTCAACCTCTGGCGTTTGTGGCCTGATGTGCACTTGAATCATTCCCCTTTATAGTGCTGTTTGAAGATCTGATGAGTATTGGGTGCTCTGCTTCTTTAAAAGGGGGAGAATTAAAGTAGCCGACTTGGACCACCCCATTCAATGTGGGTTAAGAGAATGCTGTTGCAGTAAAAACTGTCCCTTTAGCAGAGGTTTTCGCGTATCTTTGTTTTCACCAAGTTTTAGTTCCGCCTCACATACACAAAATTGACTTGCTCACAAACACAGAGAGTGTCATTGGTCAAACTTGGCGTTTTCACAGTTATGTCTCTCCTCCAGCAGATGACAGCATGCTTTCGCAAACGTGTAATTAAAAATGTAAATTGCTGGAATACGGAGCAGGAGATCATTGTGTGTGTTTTTTTTTTAAACATGTTATTTAAATTTGAACGCAGTAAGTGTAATATCTATTCCAGCACAAGCCGTGGTCTGAAGGATATTGTGACATCTTGACTAAGGAAACCTCTGTTACTCACAGGAAGTTTCCAGCCTCTCATATCACTGCCTGTAACAAGAGAAATGATGTTGTGCCCTCATGGTTAGAGTGTCAGTTTTGTCAGATTACAGGGAAAGAGATGTAAAGCATGCAGATGTTCTATTTAATCATGATTTAAACTCATCTATGTTCTTCTTTTGTTAAAAGTCATTTTAAGCGAAGACTAAAAATGTTTTATATTACTCAAAATGATTGTTCTTGAAAGTAATTTGCATGCCACACGTAATTCTGGGCTACTAATAGGGATTATCAATGTCAGGTGAATGTATAACCAACTTAACTTGCTTTAATGAATGTGCTAACAGCAGGACTTCACTTTCCTCTTGGCTCAAATGTCTCTTTGCAATGTAGGCAGCAATCTATATTTTACATTTGATTTATTTAATGAGGTCTGAGCTGACCTTGCCGGAACACCACCCAATATTTATTTCCTGCGATTAATTATTGGTATATTAAAGAACAAATAATGAAGTCAATTAGTAAACAATCAACGTCATGATTAATTTAGATTTCTTCTGTTTAAAATATGAATGATCTTTTAGCAAATAAGTGAAGTTTATTCATAAACTAATTTTGAGAGGTTCACGTGATTATGATTGAACACGGCTGGATCTGCATTAGCATGTATGATCCACTAATCAGGCCATTCCTAACCCACTATAAAGAGGCAGGGTTTTTCACTACAGTCATCTTCGATTTGAAGAATCCCCCCTTTCACCCCTACCTCTTCACCTTTCCCTCCATAAGGCGACACGGTGGCTCAGTGGTTTGCACTGTTGCCTCACAGCAAGAACATCACCGGTTCTAGTCCTTTAACAGGCCGGTGGTCGTTTCTGTGCGTAGTTTGCATGTTCTTCCCATGCTCGCGTGGTTTTCCCCGGGTCCTCCGGTTTCCTCCCACATTCCAAAAACATGCACAACAAGTGAATTGATCAATCTAAATTTTGCACTACAGTCAATCTCTCATCCTGCAGCATATCTCTTTATAGCATTCAGTTTTTAGTCATCAGCTCTTATCAAGGGGGGAATTGTCGAGATCTTAAGGCTCCGCTCTCGCCCTGCAAACAGGAGGGAGCCCAGGGCTCTAGGACCTTTTGAGCTCAGGGCTCTCTCCCGGGACAGCATGCCAAACTTGCTTATAATCAATCATCAGCTAAGTGTGAACTCTTGAAATGTATATTTTAATAGCATAATTATTAACAGTTTAAAATAGGTCAGACTATGTTAATAATTATGCTGTTAAAATACAATAGTAGATTGAGTAAATATTTATTTTTAGTTTAAAATTATGTAATGCTTTATGCTCCAAATTTATCGTCTTTTAAAATAATTCCATGTACTTGTTTGCAACCTTTCTTTTAAAGCTGATTATTATCTATTTTTACTACAGAACTTCACACTAACCAGAGGAGAATCCCCTAAAAAGTCACTTGTCCACACACTCCAAGTAATGTGCTGAGAAAAGGCCTATGCAGGTAACATCATTTATCAGTCTCTTTAATGATTTTTATTTTACTTTCCCCCTAAGTCAAACTTATCTCCCCTCTTTCCTGCTCAGGTGGATCCCTCACCAATGAATGTAGGGGATGGAGGGACGGTGAGCAGAGAGAGCAGTGCCCCTACCCAGGTGTCTGAGAGCATGGTTGGGAATCCACAGCAGACACTACCTCTGGAACTTAGAGGTGATGTACCTCAGAGTCAGCAGAATAAACTGAGGGTGACAACAGACTGCAAAACGCCCGACGTCTGCTCAGAAGCCAGCAATTTAAATCATTGCCCACAAGTCCCCCCTTCTCAACCTCACAGCAATGTGTTCAGCACTGATCCCGTGAACACACCCCTACCTGATCGGATTGAGGTTTCCAAAGGCAAGATTGATGGGGCTGGCATCTTCTCCACTCACCAGTGGCCTTGTGGTAAAAAGGTCACCACAGAGGACCCTGTGAACTCTGTTCACTCTAATATAAACCTAAACAAGAAGACTAACGCACCAGCTCCCACCCAGCCTGTGATAAGTGTTCCTTTAGGTTTCCAGTGCTCCACACTGTTTAAACCTGGCCAGCCTGTTGCTTTCCTTCCCCCCTCCAATTTTTCTTCTCCTCTTTGTAAGATCACATTGCCACCCGGGTTAGGTCAGATAGCTGCCCTGAGAGAAGCCACTGCTAGCCAGTTTCAAAAGGACTGCCCTGCACAAAGCTCTTGTTCTAGCACTACACCTATGCTCAAAACATACCCGTATCACTTTTCTGTAGGAAGAGGACCTGGTGCTGAGAAAAAGCATCCGTCTTCAGGATCCAAAGTCAGGTGTGACTCTTTGTCTAAGGGCTTTCAGGCTAGAGTTGAGCATAAAGGCCCAATGTCTTCAGTAGCAGCTCCAGCTTTAGCCCTTCCAGTACAGCAAGCTACGCAGGGCTCGGCTCCACCAACCCGTTACACCATTTCTCCCACTGCTGCCATCTGCTGCAGCCCAGCTCTGGCAAATATTACGACTCAAAGTCGGTTACTTAGCCTTGTAGAAAAAGGCTCGACTTTCAGAGGTGCAGAAAAGACTTCGTTGGCATATCTGAAACCAAAAACTCTGTCCACTCCAGAGGAGCTCAATGTTTCCTGCCCTGTTGAACCAAGGGACGTGCCCCTTGATCTGTCTGCAAAGTCCAAGCGACAAAAAAGCATTAAAGACACTCAGAACAACCCATCAGTGGCCACGGAACATCATTCTGTTGAGGCTCATCAGAAAAATATTACAGGTTCCAAAAAGATTCATTCTGCTTCTTTTCATGGGTCATCTAGTACATTTGACACTCAGAGAAATGGTGCAACCCAGAAGTCATCTTCTAAACTAACTAATCACCATGCTCTAGAACCTAACACATCCTGGGTCAAAAGCTCATCTTCCGGTTCCTTGAATAATCTCCCGGGTACATATGTAGGTGTGGCAAGCCCCATTCTAGCATCTACTTTGCGTAGCAAAGATGGAAAAGGTGCTGCTTTTGTAGAAGATCTTCAGACATTTGCCAAACAGGAAACCATCTCCATCATTGACCAAGGAGAGCAGCCAGTCTGTAGAGAAAGGAAAGCTCAGTTTGCTGTTAAAGGTTCCCAGCATAATAAAAGTGGAAAGCTTTCAACAGGTACTCAGCAAGGTTTTTTATCCACCCAATTATGTGCTACAGTAAATTCACAGCCCCACCGAAAGTCTGTTGGTGGAAAAGGAGGCACCTTGTTTACACCTCCAGTTAAATCCTTATGGCAACCACCTTGTGTTCATTCCCAAGGAGCATCCCTGCAGAAGAAGCCAAGTCAGACTCAAGCCCCAAAGACTAAGAGCACCCTCAGTTGTGAGAGAGCCCTTTTCCATAACTCTCATTTAAGCCCAACAAAAGTAGAGGATGAAAAGTGGGAAAAGGCCAAATCCCCCCTGTCGAACCTGGAGTCGATAGTGAAGCAGAAAACTCTTGAGACCACTGCTCTTACTGGTGAGAACTACTGTAATCTGTCTTCTGTGGGGTCCAAGAGGCCTGAGGTAGTCAGCATCCAGAACAGGTGTCAGGACTCCACGTTGCAACAGACCCTCACAGCTGGTTCTCCCCCATTCAGGACCATAGAAGGACAGGTCATTAAGTCGGACAGAACCTCTCCACAAACAGACTCCACAGCAGCTTTAAACAGACCAGAAATCACAACCGTTCCTGTGCCCAAGGATAAGGGACGGGAGAAACAGACAAAACAGACAGAAAATCAATCATCTGATAGTAGACAAAAAATTAAATCTAGTACCCCAAGTAAAAGAAGTTCACCCAGTATTAAAGTAGAGTGGAAAGAAAGGAAATTGGTGCAACATTTAGAGGATGAGACCGCAAAAGAGAAGGCATCAGAGAGGAAGATTTCTTCTCATGTTAAAGTAGAAGGGATAGCCTTATCGCTCCTTCAGAGCAACACTGTAGAAGTAGAAGGAGAGGCAAAAATAAATGGAGCCAAAGAGGAGATACCTTCCAAAGGAAAAGTATCCATCATAAAACAAAAGAACCTAAAAAAGCATGCCAAGGAGAAAACACCTCCTGAAGTGCAAAAAAAGACTGCACCTAGGAAACAAAAAGATAAAGACAGTCCATCAGTCAAGCAAGGCCTCTCTCATAAAAAGGTAAGTTGTACTTACTTTAGTGTGTACTTTTTAATTATGGTGTGTGCAATAATAAGCCATGACTAACTATCCGCTTGTTAAGTGTGACGTCACGCGAAGCGGCTTCCGGGTCCAAGCGCTCTATTCAACTGAATGGGGAGACTCATGAATGGTAATAAAAAACACTTACAAAGCGATTTAATGCTTTCGAAAATCACGATCGCAGTATAAATGTCCATGCCTAATATCCGATGGCCAGTAAGTGATTAATTTTTTATAAATTGTTAAAATGTTGGTATTTGTTATGCAGCAAGCCCAGAGATTGTTGTGTACACTATGATTTTAAATAAAACTAACTTTAATGTGTGATAGGAATAAAACGTGATCATAAACTAATGATTTCTCCACTCAAATGAGTGGCGGCTTGGACCCGGAAAAAGTATACATACGTCACAAACACGTCATCACTTAACAAGCGGATTATTCAGTCTAATGCTGCGAGTGTGGCCAGAATCTGGTATCATAGCATGAGTAATTTTATGTCTTGAGAAATTCTCCTGAACATTCAGGCAAAAGATCGTCATATGATAATGTCTGTATTTATCATCCAGTCAATTGCATACTTGTAAGATGATAGGTACTTTATTTCTTCAAGTTATAAATGGAAAATATGCAAAAGGTGTAAATAAAAAAACACCTTTTGAGCAAAAACAGAGTCAAGAGGTAGAGCTAATAACAAACAGTTTATTCAGATAGGGTTGCCACAATACTGGAATTCGGTATCAATCAATACTGAAGTTTTGTTACGGAGTATCGTACCAATCCTAGTTCAGATCATATGGTTGAATGAGCCACATTTGAAGATTCTGTATCACCATGCCTCATTTTCCGTGCAGCTTAATGTCAAGAAGTGTAAAGCAGAGATGCCCAAACCAGGCCACGCTGTCCAACATTGGCCCCTGAAGAACATTTCTTTGGCCTGCCATGCCATATTTAAAAATAAATTGGAAATATAATGCAGCATTTAATTTTGGCCATGGTTCTGTCATGTTTGATTTTTGACTCTTTTTAGTACGTTTTGGCACTTTTACTTTAAAGGACTGTTGTGGGTTATTAATAAGTCTATATTGATAGTATCTATTACCACAGATCTTCTTTTTGATTTGTCAGTCAGTTTGGTCTTAGAGTGGATGAGACTCCTCAGAAATGGAAAGCTCTTAGTTTTGGTAATATTCTAATTTAATTAATTCTTTGTATTTTTAACATTTCATCTGCCTAAATTGTGCCCTTTTATTGCTGGAGGAGTTATTCTTGCTGTGAGTTGCCATGTAATCTCTGTGGGTGTTTTTTTTTTCAGCTTTTCTTGTGGATGCTTACAAGTCACCAGAGTTTATTAAGGAGTTTTATCATGCTAGTTTAATGTTAGCGCATACATCGTTTAAGTCATGTGGCTGTACTATTTCTGAAAGCATTGTATTTGCAAAGATGTTTGACTTTAATTATATTATATTTGTAGTTTGAGTCTTGGGAAGAATCAATTATTGTATATGGGTACATGTTACTGTTACTTTTTGTTTAGATATTTTAATATATTCCAGCAGCCTATTGAACAGCAGAAATATTGACTGTATTTTGCGGTGCGGAAGTGTGCTTGTTTGTGTGATTGTTTTAGAAATTCCGATTCAGTCGCCTATGGGAGAAATGACTAGGAATAATAAATGTCAGAAATCGGTCAAACTACTCGCTTTACAAACAATTATGTTCATGACTACACATAAAAATAAGAATAATATAATAAGAAAATACCAGTTTGCAACATTAAGCAGCTGAACCAGCTGTTTTCTAAAAAATCAGTGGAAGTGAATGAGATCGGAAGTCTCGAGCCAAATAAATTCCAATGGCTGCTTTTTGCGCTTAAATGAAGAATAAAGTCAATATACTACCACCATCATGGTACTACCACAAATACACTACAATTGTAAGCAATTGTAATTTTTTTAAAGCAATAATATTATTAATAATAATTAATAAATAATTGTACAACCCTGTGATGCACTGAAATGAAAGATCAGTAAAAATGAAAAAATTGCATGCACTGGGCTGAAAACTAACAAATATTTTTAATAATTATTTTTATTTTATTAAATGATATAATTTTGTCAAACTTTTAAATAAAACAAAATAATTACACTTATTAAAAAACATAAGCCAATAAAATCATATAATTTTATTGACAGTACATGAGTTGAGAGACACCATTTTACCAGTGTTGCCATGACAACACAGTTGCATTATTACAAGCAGCAGTAACAAGTATACTACATAGAAATGTCCTCCCTGCATGTTAAGCGGACTGGTTTCTGATATTATTTGGTAGTTTGATCGTTTAGTTCACTAATTTGGAAACCGTCAAAGTCGTCTGGGAAACGGTTTAAATTTCCGCTTAATAAAAAAACATTAGTGTTCCATTTGGGACGACACTACATACAGATACTATGCTGTTTAGTGCGTAAGTGCATAAGTACATAGTGCATAAGTTCATAGTGTATAAGTTCATAGTGTATAGTGTGCCATTTGGGATGCAGCTTATTTCTTAAGGCAGTGGTTCTCAATTCCAGTCTTCAATACCAGGCCCCCCTGTCTTACACATTTTGTATAGCTGCGTCCCAAATCGCATACTTATGCACTATTCGACGCCATTTTGTAGTATAAATAGTTTAAGTAGTGCGTTCACACTGAAAACTAAAATAATAAGTGCACTTTAATAACCTGGACGATGCACTCATTCAGCCGGTAAAATGAAGTGTGGAATGATGGACAGTGCCATCTGGGACGACACTACATACATGTACTATACTGTTGAGTGTGTAAGTGCATAAGTACATAGTGCATGAGTGCATAATGTATAGTGTGCCATTTGGGACGCAGCTTATGTCATTATTACTAAGCACACCAGATTCAGATCATCAGCTCGTTAAGAGAGATCCATGAACTGATCTTTGTGTGTCAAATAAAGCTGCTGTCACACTGGACTTTTCTCTCCATGTACTTCCATTTTTACGCACACGAATGTGTCAGACCGGAAATGAGAGCTCGTGCGACAAGTTTCGCAGTTTGCAGCTTTGGAAAGTTCAAGCTTGGTGAACTCTGACCTGTAAAATCTCTGAGCCGACATAAATATGAACCAATCCCTCGCCTTTTAAATGTCTAATCATCCTGTTTAATCCCGCCCCTTTTCACGGCGCCATACTACAGAATTTTGCAAGGCCAAACTCTAGTGCGACCGCAGCTTTAGGGAGATGTACAAAATGTGCAGGGCAGTGGAATTGAGAACCACTGGCTTAAGGGAACTTCAGCTAAGCTTTAGATGATTTCCTGAGGCCAAAAATTTGGTGCATCAGTAGCACAACCAGTTTTTCACCAGTTTTAATTTATAAAGTTCAGTTTGTGCAACATCTTTTCTGACAAGTATTTTAAAAGCGGTGCTTAAGATTGACTCAGTTGTTGACGTTTTATTATTTCATTAAACACCAATTTGACAGTAAATTAATATCAAATCATAAAACACAGAATCCAGAAAATATTTTAATGGGAAACAAATTTGCTGAAAAGAAATAATTGTTCATATGGGGTTCTAAATGAAAAGGAATGTCGCCTCACAGCAAGAAAGTCACTGGTTCGACACCCAGCTGGATAAATTGGCATTTCTGTGTGGAATTTGCATGTTCTTCCCTTGTTGGTGTGGGTTTCCTCCGGTTGCTCTGTTTAGGGTTAGGATGAATTGGATGAACAAAATTGGCCCAAATGTATGCATATGAGAGTGTATGGGTGTTTCCCAGTACTGGGTTGCTGCTGGAAGGGCATCCGCTGCATAAGACTTATGCTGGAATAGTTGGTGGTTTATTCCGCTGTGGCGACCCCTGATATATAAGGGACTAAGCTGAAGGAAAATTTGTGTAGAAGCCACTTTTTTCTGTGAACTTGGTAAATGATATTGGGGTAAAAATATAAAGGTAAGAACACCTTTCAGAATCAGGGTATTATTTTTGGCCACATTGCCTTTCCTAGAGTATTATTTAAAAAAATGTAACCAGTATTTAGAGCTACACAATGTGGCTACGTCTGTGAATTTTGGAGGGAAATTTAAATAGTTCTTGTGAGATTATTTTGGGAGTAGCCTAGTGACATGCATTCTGCTGTGCAAATGAGCTGCGTGAGTCCTCGGTGTGAGAGATGATGGCATTACCATGACGAGCCGTTGATGGGTTTATAGACAATTAGGTTTTCCTGTGAAGTTACTGCTTTACTTAAATAGCCATTTATCTGAATTACAAATATTGAAAGACCAGATGTTCTGTTATGATTTTGTTCACTACATGTTGTATTTCAGCAGAAGAAAGATGTGTTGCCTGGAGTGGGAAAAAGTGTACTGAAAGATGGAACAGGCCCAGGCCCCAAAGCAGGGGGAAAGACTCGCAAAGGGAAAAGCTGTCCGGCTAATGTGGAGCACACCGACTCAAACAAAATAGGTACTGAGCCAGTAATAGCTCATCCAAAAAGGACACGTTGGTCATCATTTACTCACCCTTATGTTAATCCAAACCTTCTGTGGTAATAATATATACATTCATGCAGGTCTTTCTACAATGGGTCAAAGTGACAATGAGTGCGTTTACATGGACACCAATAATCCAATTTTAATACGATTAAGACAATACTTCCTCTGTTACTTCCTCTGGCAAGTTGTTATTTTCTTTCTGTACCACATTATTAATGAAGATTTTTTTATCATAATTATCTGTGATAACTACTAAAATAGTTCAAATAAAGGACAAAATAATTAACAATAAACATGTATTGATTGCACAAGTATTAAATTATAATAAAATTGAATAAATTTTGTAGTGCACAAGAATTAAGAATTTCAGTGTAAAAATAACAATAAAACTGAACAATAAAGTAAACTAACTTAAGAACGGGGAAAATACAGGTGATCGTTAGCAGTAATTCTCTTTATGTGTCTAAATAATAATTAGGAAGACAAAGCTAGTGTTATATACTAGCGGTGTTGCAGCAGCTGATGGACATTGTATTAATACTGTAAAAAATTTTTGCACAAATTGACAAATTGCAGGATTGGGATGTGTAAATATCCTGTTCATATTTAGAAATTTTGCTGTATTTATCATTTAAATGCATGATAAATCGTTATCTATGGTGTGTAGGCTATTGGGTTCTGTTGGTTGCTAATTAAATATTAAAACCTTTCTAAAAATGTATGTGTTCTTTATATGTTATTGTTCATATTTTACAAGTGTTATTTCTACCCCTATGAACATGACAAATACCAACAACCCTGTTATAAGAAAATATATTATTTGTGCTCATATTAGTCTAACTGAGGCTAGAGTGTATAAAAGATCATTTATTTCTGTAGTCCAACATGTATTGTTTTTATTAACATAACAGCTTACATCACACCGTTTTTTAACCGTATATTATTCTGTGTTTTTAAACGCAAGTGTTTATATTTACATCAGTGAGCCTTTGTTATAGTCCAGATACCGGCGGTCAAGTGAGAAGTTCGGGGGCCGTGGTTGATTTTACATCAAGCGTTTGGTGCGAAGCTCAATTCCGCAGCTCCTCCTCTGGCTCCATCAGACAGTCCTTCTGCGCATGTCCAGGCTCCAATTTCAGCAGTCTTTTGCGACAGTTTGTGCCCGTCAAGCAGGCGTTTTGCCCTCAAGGCGTTCAATTGGAAAAGGGCTGTCGCGTCGTCCATATTTTTTTACAGTCATAAGTGTATCCGCAATAGTCACATCGCAGGTTTATGCTATTTTTGCTGAACAGGAACCGGAGTTCAAGCCATACATCATTCGAGTTTTTGCAAATTTCTACGATTAATTTATCAGTTACTTTATCATCCGCCTGTGTATTTAAGGCATGTGACTGTGAGCATTTCAAGCAACTTTAAATCATTTAGGCACAAGAAATGTAATAAATTTTATTTATGTGCATAAAACACATGAACTATTATAGTGTTGTTTTACATTTGATTATTCAGTTTGTGCCTGAATACTGCTAGGCTCCCAGACAACCATAAATTATGGCTTACTTCATTTGAATCTTTGTTCTATTGTACTTATCACTCTCCTACAAAATCATCTCATTTAATCTAATTTTATGAATTCTTTCCAGACAGAGCTATTTATTTCATCTGGTAAAATTTATACTTAATATCGCTATATGTATTGCAGAAACATAAAATATTGCAATGTCAGTTTTTTACCAGTATCGTGCAGCCCTATTCTAAACCCTGAAACGTTGTTTTGGTCATTCTAAAATGCTTTAGCCTAAGTCTGTCAAATGGGTTTTGAATTAGGGCTGGGCGATTTGGCCTAAAATGAAAATCTCAATTAATTGAATGTTTTAACTGGATTACGATTAATTTTATTAATTTATTTTATTTTTTTGCCCTCATAGTTCACTGACAAGTTTTGTACAGTAAATATGCTCACATATTACAAGTGAGAGATTTCTGAATGAAGGGTGCTTTACTTAATTTTAAAATAATTGTAGGAAACACAAACTATCTACTATCTATGACTATATTGAACATCAACGTTGAACAACTGAAATTAAAACATATTGCCTTAAATAAACAGTTTCTTTTTTCTTTTAAAAAAGTGAAAATAGCTTGTACTTTTGGAATGTTTTTATATTAAAAGTAGAAAATAAGCAGTATCTCTACTAAATAAAATAACTCTTGTATATCCTGTAAATAAAAATTTAAATAGTGCATTTCTTGAATCTTCTGTAAACAAATAATAGTTTTTTGTAATGGAAAATATGCCATCTTGGGGCTTTTCTGGCACAGCTTCCAATCATCGTCAATGTAGTGCGGTGTACTTACATTTTGTGAGAGGTGTTCAAACGCTGCTATTTCGAACAGCGCGAATGCTGCGCCGTACCTTACCTGTGTTTTCGATGCAGAAGTATAAATCAGCCTTAACTGACCAGGGTCACGTAGCTGAAAAAAATAACCGAAAATGCAATTTCAATTATCAATTATAGGTTCTGAATGTCAATTTAGATTAGAGCTTTAGATCTTTCGATTAATTACCCAGCCCTATTTGTATTAATACCTCCAGAACACTCCCAAAGAGCTTCTTATGCCTCCAAAAGCCACTGCATGTTCATTGCGTTTTGTCTTCAGAGGCGCAGGTAATGTTATACAATAAAAAAGTCTCTCAGTGGCTTTTCCTAATGCAGCAAGTTTTTACCTATTTATTTTTTATTAGGCTCCAGTCAATCAGTAGGTGGCGATTTTGTTCTCTTTGACTCATTGGATGGAAATGCCGCTTTATTTACAAATTATTTATGCAACAAATGAGTTATTTAGCAATTTTTGTCTTACATCTGGAATGGCCTGAGGGTGAGTAAATTAAGTGCAAATTAAAATGTTTGCATGAAATGTCTCTTAAATAGCTGTGGTCAGCATGAAAAAAGACTTGTGTAAAAGGTTCTACCACAATACATCAACGTACAGGTCACAAAAATGACCAAATTGACTTTTTTGGTTGAATCAGTCCATCAAAAAGATGCTTCTTTTGTCATATGCAAGTATTCCCTATAGATCATTCCTCAATGTTTCTCTCAGATTCAGAAAGCAGTCCATGCAGAAGTCCTCAGGTTGACAGAGACTCGGGCTCTCTCAGCAGTCCAGGCTGGCCTAGTAAGGAATCAGATTCCCAGGAGGAGGCCTCTCCGCGACTGAGGCGAGGGCGCAGACGGACTGATGAAGCGTTGCTCCGAGACTGGAGCTTCGCCACTCCACCTACTCCACCCCCCCTCGATCCCCCTTCCACCCCGCCGCCTGTACCAGTGCGGCGGCCGCGCGGCAGGCCCCGAATCAATCCTCTGCCCGAGGAGGTGGATGCGGACAAGGACAGGCCCACAGAGGGTGGAGACACCTCTTCAATAAAGAAAAGGAAACGCTGCAAGAATCGTAAATATCAGAACGGGGAATACATCACCGAGAAGGATAAGGTGGCAGATGGAGAGGAGGAGAAGCTGGGCGTGGAAGATGGTGAGGCCACGAGTGAGTAAAGATGTCTGAGGCTTGAACATTTTGCTGAGGACGCCGTTCTGTCTTTGATTTGATATTTAGTCCTCGGGCTGTAATTAAGAGTAGTGTAATTGAAATAAATGTTTAATGATTGTCCTGTTTGAGAGCAAATCTGGCACAATTCAGACTTTAAAAAACACACAAAAATATAACAGTGTCTTTGTTAGCGGAGGATGAATTTCACACACTGGTAATAGGATCTGTGTAGTGTTTACTAAAATAGGAGTGTCCAGTTTCTGGATGTTGTAGGTGTTACCAATGGTCTGAAGGCCATAGAATGTTTGGATATCTCCTCTGCGGGGTAAATGTAGTTTTGTTTTGAATTGGGTATATACTGTTATTCAGAGGTTTGATATAATATTAAGTAATATAATAATAATAAAAATAATAATTAATATTTGAAAATATTTTTGAAAGATGTCTCTTCTGCTCACCAACACTGTATTTATTTTATAAAAAATTGCAAAAGCAGTATTATTGTGAAATATTGTTTAACTTTAAATAACTTTTTTAATCTTAATATGTTTTATAATGTATTCCTGTGATTTAAAGTTGAATTTTCACCATAATTTCATAAAATAATCATCAGTTTCATGTATTCTTATAAATCTTTCTAAATGCTGATTTGCTGCACAGGAAACAATTCACATTATTATCCGTATTTAAACTTTAATGTTTTAAAAGTATATTTTATATATTTTATTATATATAAAATATATTTTATTTTTATTCAAGGATAGATTAAATCGATCTAAATAACAGCAAAGATTAATAAAGTTATGAAAGACTTTAAAATAAATTGTTATTTTGACTTTTTTTCTCAGATAATCCTTAAAAGTAAAAGGTATCACAGATTCTACAGAGACATGAAGCAGAAATAATAGGCATTACTATTAATGATCAATAATAATAATAATATACCTACAAATGATCAGGTGATTTTATCTGAATCATTAGAATGATTCTCAAGTATGATGGGAGTATTGAAGTAGTAATACTGAAAATAAGCCTTGTAGGAATTATATGATTAAATTATATTTTATAATATTTTCACATAGAGAACAGATCATTTCAATAGAACAAAATAATTTTTAAAGATGCAGTAGGTGATCTGCCTAAATGCTAACCGGTTAGCATAATACCTTATAAACACAATCCCTCCCCTGCTGTCCAAAGCCACGCCTCCTGATATCACGAGGGCACATATTAAAGATGACAGAGACCGACTAGATCATTTCATTTGCATTTTTCAGTTAGAAAACCCTTATAGTATTTTATAGTTAGAGATGCTCCAATCGATAATCACATTTTTTGATCGGTACTTGCATATCTGCCCGATCACATGAACTGAGTCGCAAGTTAAGTCGAGAAAGGTGCATTTTAACTTTTGCATCAAAAATGCGCTCCATACTTTTTCTTCATTGAGGCATGTTGAATTATTCTTCCATCACTTGCAATGTTTATAAATTGCATTGTTAATAATTTTTCTTACCAATTTTTTTATCTGTTTACTTTATTTTTTCTATGAAGCTGATTCTGGCCATTACACACTAAATAGTTATTAGAGACATGTTCAAAGGATTATGTGCAACATCCTTTGTTCCTTTTTGGAAAGGAGAAAGCTCCACTTTGAGGCGAATTTGCTTTATGCAATGTTTTATAAACCTTAAAGCTTCAGACTCGGTATTGGCTCCAAAAATCCTGATCGGATCATCCATATTTATAATATTCTAATTCCGAATGAAAAACTGTATTATATCTAGCATGTTTTCAGTTTTGTAGCAAGTAAAACTTGTTATAAGCAATAATTCATGCATGCAAGGATCGCTGGTCTCTCTTACGCGATTTGTCCTAAAGTGTCAACTGTATGCTTAGTGGTAGGCCAGCGGCATGCGGGAATTATACTTATTACTAAGCCATACTTGCATGTAATTTCAGACCGAATATTTAGAGTAACATGGTCAATAATATAGGGGGCGCATCACAGGTTGTCATTGTTTAAAAATGAACCATTGTGAATATAAACCAATTTCAGCCCAGTAAAGCAGGCTAGGCGGAATAGTGTTATTTCCTGATGTTTTGTTGTAAAACTAAATACAAATCTACATTATTGATGCTGAAAAAAGGTCAGTTGAAATTGAAAATAGCCACATCAATCGTTCGCCGGAAGATTTCAGTGGCTGAGCAACACTTTTGTGCATATAACCCATTCGTAAAAGCAAAATCAAAATAAGTTTTTCGTGACTAAAATATTTTTAAAAAAGAACATGACCTGTCTAAAAGAAATACTTCAGCCATGGTGTCATCCTTCCTCCAACGTGCAAAAGTAACTCCAATGTTGATTCAGTATTTTAAAATGTTTTGATTCAGCATTTGTTTTTCACATCCAACATTCTCGTACAGGCGAATGTTGCGCGTGTGCATCAGTGGATCTGCGCGAACAAATCTACATTTGTCGACAGACAGTTTGGGCTATTTATCAATTATAGAAAATGTTTTCCCCACAAATTTTAATTGGATGAACCTTTTTTTAGTCTTATGACTTAGCCATAATATAAAAATACATATAAATACATTTAGATCATTTACTTTAATCATTATTATTGAAGTGTAAAGAGATTTTCAACCAGCACAACAAAAAAAGACAATCAACTTCAACACCTTTAATTGCATGTATTAGGGTTGTCGCGATACCATTAATTTATTGTACAATACTATACCAGTAGAAGTGTCACGATACCAAATAGTATTGCGATACTGTAATTCAGAACTCAAATATAAAGTAAATTGTAAGAAATACTTTATTTTACATGTTATAATCCTGAATATTATTGATAATTCTATTATTAAAAAAAGTATTATTTGCACGTCACTTTACCTAAAATGTATTCATTCTTTTTGTTTATTTTGTAGATAACTAGCCAACAAAAATACGTTAAAATAAACATACAAAATATACCAAACAAAATTTGTTACAAAAAGAGCATTTTTCCAACAAAATTAGGCTACAGTATTTTAAGTGGTCAAACATTGTTTTAATGTTTCTTTTTGCTGTTTTGGGATTTTCATCTTTTTTTTATTCCGTCTTATCAGTAATAAAAAAAATCCAACAATTATTATTAACAATGCAAAGTAATTTAAAATATTACTTTTTGAGTCGTTATTTAAGAGATTGTTGCAGTTGTTGTAGCTCCTAAATCATATTGACAGGAACAGAAATGAACCGTTGGAGGTGTGCGTTAGACATGTCAGAAAACATTAGAAAACTTGCAACCTTAAAGAGCTCCGCAGACTATTCAAATAAAATGGTCTATTGTTGCACAAACTTGTGAGCATTTTGTGACTTTTCCACATGCAACATTATCTATGGTAGATAAACTATTAATGACGATGCTACCATTTACAAACTATAGTGGCACTGCTAGTATTTTGTAGCCATAGTATCACGATACTATCATAGTACTGGTAAACTGTGCAACCCTAGCATGTATTAGTGCATTTATCTAAAATAAATACAGCTTTATTGAGCAGAGGGGATTTGTTTTAAAAACTGTTACTATTCCTTAACTGTTGTGGACAGATGTGTGCAGTACATAGTCATGCCTTGGTTATTTAGCAGAAGTTTATTTTGGACCGAAAACGAGTCATCCATTGTCACGCCAGTCTGTCCATAGTTATTTTGATTTAGTTTTAACAAACGATGTAATAAAAAGGTTTGTGTTGTAATATTAGTCTTCACCATTGCAGATGAGAAGACAGGTGTGTACCCGTGTCTCAGTGCCACACTGACCGGCGAAGTGCCCAGTCCCGACGTCAGTCCTAGACGGACACTCTTCACCCGTTCTGGATCAACACGACCACAAGACAGTCCTCCTGCTACACATCCAAACACAGACAAACCCGCAGGGAAGAGGAAGTTCAAAAGCAAACACTTATGTGACACAGACGAGCAGAAAAAGGTCAGCACAAGTGGACATATGTTGATATTCGATAATGATAATGATTCAATTCATCTTTATTTCTATAGCGCTTTTACAATGTAGATTGTGTCAAAGCAGCTTAAAATAGAAGATTATAGTCAATTGAAACAGTTTCAGTCCAGTTCTTGGAGTTTAAGTTCAGTTTAGTTCAGTTCAGTGTGGTTTAATTCACTGCTGAAAGACCAAACTATAAAGAGCAAATCCATCAATGCGCAGCTCTACAAGTCCCGAACCATGCAAGCCAGTTGGCGGCGACAGTGGCGAGGAACAAACTTCACCAATTGATGAAAGTAAAGGAAAAAAAACCTTGAGAGAGTCCTGGCTCAGTTGGGCATGACCATTTCTCTTTTGGCCAAACTTTTTGTGCAGAGCTATAATAGGGTATATGCCTAGCTAGGGTTCTTCCCATACTTATAAACTTCCAGTGAACTGGACTAGTGATAAGAGCTTTAGCACTTAATCGCAACAACAAAAAAAATGTATACAGGCAGAAGCCTGAGCACAAACCTCTTTTCAAACTTTCAGACAAAACTAGAGCACTTCAGCTAAACTGTTAAAGCCTTTTCAATTAGTCTTATGCTTCCCCCTAGTGGCACTCCACTGCAACGAGCTTACTCACAACAGCTGTTTGTTTTTTTATTGAGGCGGGACACATGTAACAGTTGCCCTCTCTTCAATCTAACATCCCTCATACATATTGTACATTAGAGGCACGTTACTTAAAGATATGTAGTACAAATGAGAGATATTAATTACTTAAATTACAAAAACATGCATACATTGTATGTTGAATAAAATGGACACTACATTAAATGAATTATTATTATAAAACATTCTATACTATATTATTGATGCTGTGGGACAATTTGAGATGCATCAAACAAGTTTAATATTCTGTGGTAAATATTATAATTTCTATAATAGAACAATAATACATAACAGATGTTTTAGAAAATTTAATATATACCAAAACTGGCTAACAAATGAGTGTAAAAATACATGATGCTTCATAAGAAATGCACATTATTTATGTGATGACTAGTTACTGAAAAAATGATCACTGTATATTCATAACACCGTTATTCCCATCATTGTTCATACATGACTCTCTGTTTCAGCTCAAGACTAAGAAAGGCAGTTTGGGCAAACGCACAGGCCCCCTCGTGCTAGATGAGGATGGTCCACCGGCCAAGAAAACCCCAACTCCTCTTTGCGCTTCTCCCAAGCCGCCACACTCACCACTGTCAGGCAAAAAAGGAACAGCTGGGAAATTGGGAATCCCTGAATCCACTCCAAGCCGTCCAGTGCCTCCAGAAGTCCGTCGACTGATTGTCAATAAGAATGCAGGAGAGACGCTGTTACAGAGAGCTGCTAGATTAGGGTACCAGGTAAAGTATTTGCAACTCCAGTGGTTGCTGTTATTTCTTAAGCATTTATTATATCTGTAGTACATGTACAAAAAAATCAAGACAATTTATCAAGTATATTTAATGTGATTTCATTATTAAAAAATGTTTAAATAAATTAAGTTATTAATAGATTAAAAAACAAGTTTGTGGCAGAGTGCTTTAACAAGTCCTGACTTGAGGTTGTTTAATTTTTAAAATATATATACTTTAAGTACCTTGGTATTTTAAAGTTATATTTTTAGTTAATTAACAACATATCAGAAAATTGATGGTTCTCTTATTATAAAAAATATACACACATATACTCACCGCCCACTTTATTAGAAACATCTTACTAGTATCGAGTTGGACCCTTTTTTGCCTTCAGAACTGCCTTAATCCTTCATGGCGTAGATTCAACAAGGTACTGGAAATATTCCTCAGAGATTTTGGTCCACCAACAGCCTGAACCATTGATACAAGGAAGGATGGATCCATGCTTTCCAGTTGTTGACACCCAATTCTGACCCTACCATCCGAATGTCGCAGCAGAAATCAAGACTCATCAGACCAGGCAACGTTTGGCATCAACTAGGCATTTGCCCACAGAACTGCCGCTTAGTGGTTATTTTATTTTTTTTTTCGACCATTTTCTGTAAACCCTAGAGATGGTTGTGCGTGAAAATCCCAATAGATCAGCAGTTTCTGATATAAGACCAGCCCGTCTGGCACCAACAAATATGCCAAGTTCAAAGTGACTTAAATCAGCTTTCTTCCTCATTCTAATGCTCGGTTTGAACCTGCAGCAGATCGTCTTGACCATGTCTACAGGCAAGGTGCTGCCATGTGATTGGCTAATTTGTGTTAACGAGCAGTTAGTGTACCTAATAAAGTGTCCGATGAGTGAATATATTGGAATTTTTTTTATTGAATTCTATATGGAAGATGTTAATTTGACATTTTTATGATTATTATTTGTTCATAATTTAGTTAATGATGCTAAAAAATTCATGTAGTGATGTGCGATATTGACTAAATAATTAAAAACTAAAATAAATGAATAAAAATAAATGTTTTTTGATAACGATGATTTAAGTCTTGTGTGTGATCCAGTAATTAAATTTTGCACTCTTCTTCTGAAACACATGAATTTTCTGCTCTGAACTATACTCATTAGACAAATGAAAGAAGACAGACTGTTTTTGCAAAATGAGTGAAAACAAAAACTAAGACTTAGCATGTCATAGCATTTATATGCTGCAACTCTGATGATTTGAAGCACTTCATTTATCCTCACTTGTAAGTCACTTTGGATAAAAGCGTCTGCTAAACAATAAGTGACATTAAATAATGTTACAATAATTAAATTGTTACAACAACAATTACAACATTATCATAGATGATATCACAACCCATGTACGTTTTAATTGCTTTTCAATAACCCTGTTCCATTGATTATCATTCATCTAAATGTTTGTTTTCAGGATGTGGTTTTGTACTGCTTGGAAAAGGATGTGCGAGAGGTGAACCGTCGAGACAATGCGGGTTACACAGCGCTGCATGAGGCCTGTGCACGTGGCTGGACACACATTGTACAGGTGCTACTGAAGCATGGGGCAGATGTCAACTGCAGCGCACAGGACGGCACACGGTGAGCAGCGGGTTACACAGATTCATTTATTACCTAGAAAAAATTGTTAAATTAAAAGTTAGTCGTCCCCACAGATAGCTTTAGGCTACTGCTTTTTTTAAATTGTACAATTGCAGTTTTGTGGTCAGTAGCTAATGGGCCACATTAGATTCTGATTCTAAAAATAGATCTTCCAAAATCTGTTTAAAATAAGATTATGTTTGTCCGCCCACAGCAACAACGTGTCCAACAAACTCTGTCCAATTACCTTATAAAACCTTCTTCCTCCTACTGTTTCCTGTAAGAGCTTTGCCATGTCTTTTTTCATCACTCCAGCCCATCTGCAGTAGTGGAAAGAGTACTGAAAAATCAAGTAAAAGTACCATTACTTACCCACAACTGTAGTGTAAATGTTGTTTGTAAATATTACTCTAGTATAAGTAATAAAGGCAGCCCTTTTAAAAGTACTCAAGGGTAGTGAGTATTACAATGTAAAAGCTTGATGCGTTTGCATGTTATTTGAGAATTTGTGTGAAAACGTAACATTCTGTAGTGCATTTAGTGATTGCTTACAGCCGTTTGGTGATTTCAGTCGTCATACAGTAGGCATCCATCATCTTTTCATCAGTGGCATATAGTCTAAACAGTCTATTGCAGTGGTTCTCAAACTTTTTTCATGAAGTACCACCTAAAATGTGCAGTATTGAAATACAGTTGCGTTGTAGGCCCAGTAAAGCAGCTACAACCCTGCACAGTTAAAAAAACGTAGCAGATAACCTCAGATATATAGGCTATATGTTATATATGGCATATTTTTTGCATAATTTTTTATCAATTTTAAAATGTGTGTAGCATGTACATGACATATTTTATTCCTTTGCGTACCGCTAGAAGGAAGCTTGCGTACCACTAGTGGTACACGTACCATAGTTTGAGAACCACTGGTCTATCGGTTATTATGTGCAACAATTTTGGCTCCCGAATTTGTCACAACTCTGCTCAAAAGCCATGGCATATTAAACTTATACAAATAAGAATTTCAACATAATTAAATGCTCAAACCTAGACTAACCAAAGTCAACTGTTAAGCAAAACTAAAGCTAGAAATGAACTAAACAAAATAAGAACAAAATAACTGGGAGCAAGCGACAACCACATGCCAACATTGCCAGTGCTTTATAGGGGAGAGAACAGGTGTTTGTCAGAATTCTGCCTCATTTGACTTAGTAGCTGCCTGTCACTCTGTGGCGGCTTGCTGCAAACGCAGGTCTGTGCAGGTCTACAACTCAGAGAATACAACCGACCTCTGCAGAATCTGAGTGAGGTTCATGTGAGCTGTACTGGTGTCCTATTGGCTGTCGCTCAAGAAAGTTGCTCTTCATGTACATAAAGTTTAAGGATTCTCAACTTTGTCGCGTCTCTCGAAATGCCCACCTGGTCGTTAACGGTCATTGTCGATAGCGAAGACCAGGGGTCACCAATCTCGGTCCTGGAGGGCGGGTGTCCCTGCAGGGTTTAGCTCCAACTTGCCTCAACACACCTGCCTGGATGTTTCAAGTATACCTAGTAAGAGCTTGATTAGCTTGTTCAGGTGTGTTTGATTAGGGTTGGAGCTAAAATCTGCAGGACACCGGCCCTCCAGGAACAAGTTTGGTGACCACTGGCGTAGACTGTGGTCGCTGGAAGTCGCTTACTCTGTTGAAATGAACGGTCGCTTGCCGCTTTGCCACTGCGAGTCGCTGCTCGTAATGTGAATAAGGCTTTCGGCAGGTGAGTCTCTTGGTTTCACCCACTGGCTGGCCAAAACAGGAAGAACGGAGACTCCTCACAATAGGAATAACAGGACTGATTGTTCTACTTTAGATAATCACCGCAAACAAGAACAAAAAATAGTTACTGCAGATTGAAGGAAAAAAGTGCTGTAAAAGTATCGATGCAGCACTTAAAAGTACTCAAGTGAGAGTAGAAGTACAAATTTTTAAAACTACCTAATGTACAATTCCTGAGAAAAACAACTCCATTACAGTAACTTAAGTATTTGTTACTTCACACCACGACCCATCTGTAGTAATAACAGTAAACTTTACACTATTTTCGGTATGGTGACGTGTGTTTTAAACTTTTGCAGTCCAATTCATGATGCAGTAGCAGCTGATAATCTGCCGGCTGTCTGGATGTTGTTAAATCACGGAGCAGACCCAACGCTGGCCACCTACTCTGGTCAGACCGCAGTCAAACTCGCCCAGAGTCCAAGCATGAAGACTTTCCTCAAAGGTAAATCTGCTTGGGTTTTAAAGTTTTGCATACATGTTTGCTGAACTGTAATGCTTGCAGAATGATCACCAAGTTTACCTTGATTACATTATTGAGATGAAAACTCAACACTGTATGATAAACTGTTTGTTTATCCGCAGAGTACTTTACTGATTTAGAAGGACGAACAGACCAGGATCCGAGCCTGCAGTGGGATTTCTACAGTAGCTCTGTGTTTGGTAAGAAAATTGAAAGTTACACTACCTGACAAAAGTCTTGTTGTTGATCCCAGTCGTAAGAGCAACAAATAATAACTTGACTTCTAGTTGATCATTTGGAAAAGTGGCAGAAGGTAGAATTTTCAGATGAATCATCTGTTGAACTGCATCCCAATCATCGAACTGCAGAAGCCCTTTTGCAACCCACATGGACCCAAGATTCTCACAGAAATCAGTCAAGTTTACATTTAGTATGGGGCAGTGTGTGAGATCTGCAGAGTGGATGGCAACATCAACATCCTGAGGTATCAAGACATTTGTGCTGTCCATTACATTACAAACCACAGAAGAGGGCAAATTCTTCAGCAGGATAGCGCTTCTTCTCATTCTTCAGCCTCCACATCAAAGTTCCTGAAAGCAAAAGAGGTCAAGGTGCTCCAGGATTGGCCAGCCCAGTTACCAGATATGAACATTATTGAGCATGTCTGGGGTAAGATGGAGGTGGCTAAAAAGATGAATCCAAAGAATCTTGATGAACTCTGGGAGTCCTGCAAGAACACGTTCTTTGCCATTCCAGATGACTTAATTAATAAGTGATTTGAGTCATTGCAGAGATGTATGGATGCAGTCCTCCAAGCTCATGGGAGTCATACACAATATTAATTCTTTTTCCACAGTAGCATAACTTTTTATTCTGTACTGTACATTATTTCTGTTAAGTGACTTGTCTCAGCGGAGTCAGACCTTACTGTCCTTATTAAATAATTAAATATTAAAGCATGATTATATTTTGTGCATCATGATAAACGAGGAGTCAAGTTATTAATTGTTGTTCCTAAAACTTGGATGGACGACAAGACTTTTGTGTTTACTTCTACTCACTTTCAGCTTATAAATATTATTATATCTGCAAAAATAAGATAATAAAAAGTAAGGCAGATCATTTAAATTGTATTAATATTTTACAATATTTATGTGTTATTATTCGACAGTATTTTTGATGTACTGTGATGATTATGTTCTCTGGTATTATTTCAGAAGAAAATGATGACAGAATATTCAATGTTTTTTATGAAATGATACTGATCATGTTTATATTCATTTAATTAGGAAAAACAAGTATTTAATCAATGTTGTCAGGCTTTAGGTCCCCTCATACTCAGTGATGGTGGTATAACAAGTAAGACAAATCAATTTTTCCAGGTATTTTCTAATTTAAGCCAGCCAAGAAGTGTTCGAAGTATTCAGTGGTAAATCTGCCCACTAGAGGGAGGCAGAAGCAGTATAAACCAGCAGAGGCAATCCTTCTCCTGGAGGACCAAAACACTGCAATATTAGACTCTTGCCAGCTCCAACACACTTTCTTGGAAGTAGTCATTCTGAAAACCTGGATTAGCTGATTAAGCTGTATTTGTTTAGTGTCATTTGTTTAGAGTTTGACTTTTATCTTTATTCCCTTTAAACATTTGCAGAGAAAGATCAGGAGCCTTGTTGGGACTTCCTGTTGTCTCAACCTGAGGATGAAGGCGAGGAGATGTTTAGCGAGCAGGTGAAGGAGAGAGACGCAGATGCAGACTGTCTTCTGTTCGAGTTCTCCTCAGAGCCTCTTCTGTCATGTTATCATGTCCAAGTATCACTAACACAGGGGTGAGTGACTGCAAACATGCCTTTTAAAGGGTCATGATGAGTTCCCCATTTCAGCACGGTTCTCACTACAGTCTAGCCCCAAGGTTCTCAACAGGCGGCGCGCAGCTGCACAGAATAATCAGCTCCCATGTTGCAGCATATAGTGAATCACTAGGGCTTTAATATTTTATGTATTTTCTTGGTTTCATGAAAACTTTCTACACAAAAACAGAAGTGTGCAACAGTAGTCCCACTTCCGAGTTCTTCTGACTGGTCCACAGAAATCGTTTTATCTTCACACGGCATCTAAATATGCAGTGCTGCAAAAGACCTAAGTGTATAATAATCACGCGCATCCGTAAACCACAGATATATAAGATATTGTCTCATGTGAGCTTTTAAGTCAGTCTGTGAGTGTTCTCTACACACACATGCACAGCTGGATCTGCTGCATGGATGGACACAGTGAATATATATATATTTTTTGTGAATTTTATTTGTATTTTATATATTTATCTAAGTAACTTTTTATTGTGATACGAATTTGTTTTGATCATGTAATATTTTTATGTTATATCCATCTTGCCATGAAACAGCCACAAGTTGCTGATGTGGCAATAAATAAATAATGAATAAATAATAAAAAAAGTGACTAAGCTGAAGAAAAATGAATGAACATGCCTATTAAAATCTCTGAAAATATAGCTTAGCATTTCATAACCCTTTGAAGCATGTCTCCTAATCCGCCTGTTTCTTTCCACAGTTTTTGCAACTGGTTCTTGCTAGCAGACGTGCTAAAGCGGCTAAAGATGTCAGCGCGCATTTTCCGGGCTCGATACCCTCAGTTTGAGGTGGTGAACATCGCTCAGGCGGAGCTGTGGAAGCAGGTCTCCGTCAGTCAGACGTGCAGCCCTCCGGACGAGCTCCAGCCGGAGGATGATGAGGACGGAGAGGAGACTGTGGAGCTGGTGCGCTGCGTGCCAGAGCTACAGGGACTGCTGGGCTCCTCCATACAGATCCTCCGAGATGACGACAATGACAATGATGAAGATGATGATGACAAGTCAGCGCTCAGACCTTGCAGTCGATAGCGACTATAGTGCCGTCCGCAGTCCGATGGCCTGTTACCAGTACCAGCACTTTGTATGTTCAGAATCAGCCAGAAAGGTCCTATTTCTTCACAAGCGAAAGGAGCGACTTACGGGGACGGACTCCAGTGGGAAGCAACTTTCAGGTTTCTTCTGTAGGGTTTTGTTTATTTTTCATTTTTTAAAATAAACCTATATGTATAAGTAAAACATATTATGTATATCTTGACATCAGGGTGAACGCAGGGTGGTTGTGACTTGTTTTACGTCCATTTGGTTTTTTTTGACGCTCCTTTAGAAGAAGTGGTAATCCAAGTCTTTTTTTATCTTGGTATACTAAATGTGTGTAGCTAAGAGGCTTACGTCAAGCTAACGGCGGCGCAGGAATGCCTTCAAGCCAGATGCTTGGTGTGTAAACCATCGAGCTCCCAGAAGCCCCTTCACCTTTTCTGCAAATGTTGCCCTCTTTACCTCAGCACCACTGCGGCTCTGCCAGGATCACGTCACACTTTCACTTTATTTCATTCGTGTCGTGCCGGGATCGGGATTGTGTTGCTCTGACGTCACACGTTGTTTTGTTTTTTTTGAGCTGTTGGTTTTAGCCACTGATATAATTAATTTATGATATCCAGCAGGTGATATCGACCTTGACATTTAAGTGGTAAGAAAACCAAACCTGTGGATTTTTTTTAAAGGTTTTTCTACCAGAATCCGTCTCGAACTGCTTTTGCTGAAGAAGTCTGAGTTTTTCTTGGTGTACCAGATTCCCAGCGTGCTTTGTGGCGCGTGGTGTGTTTTATTTACACTGACTGTTGTTTGTGCTTAATTTAATAGTCATTAATATATTTGACCTTTTGTGTGTGTGTGTGTGTGTGTGTGTGTGTGTGTGTGTGTGTGTGTGTGTGTCAGACAAATGATATATGAAAATTGCTTTGTATGGTTGGTGCTTTATTTGACGACGTACAAATAATGAACCCTTTATCCTGAGGTTGTTTTGTTTTCCCAAACTGCGAACAGTATTTTAACAGGCTAAAGTACAGTTTTATTGTACTGGTGCTAAGCTAGATTTTTGTGTTGACAATCAATGAAGTTTTGTTTGACTGAAACCAATAAATATTTAAATGAAGAGAGAGCGAGAGAGATGTAAAGATAGAGTTTAGTTTCACTACTTGCGGAAAAACCGCGAGACCTGAGGAAAGTACTTGGTTTTGATTGATTGAGGAAGGCATATTGCTTCAGTGATCTCTGTTCAAAGGAGAGCTGTTTATTTGATTCTTTTTTTAAAGAGATCAACCAGAATAAAGCATGATTGTCAAGTCTTGCTTGTGTGTTTGTAGCATTGGATACAAAAGGGATTTTGTTGTCACTTGACCCTGTTAACACTGCTTGCTTTGAGTCGGAGTGATCATTCATTCATTCATTTTCCTTCAGCTTAAACCCTTTATTCATCAGGACTCGCCACAGCTTAATGATCCGCCAATTTATCCAGCATGTTTTACCCTTTCAGCTGCAACCCAGTACTGGGAAACACACATACAATACATAAAGTTTCTTACAGACTAAGCATGTGATATGATCGACTACAGCTGATCCTTATCGCTAGTCATTAGCTAGCCTATCAGATTCATTCATTCTCAACTTCATTCCCTATCTTCGTTTTGGAACCCCCCTTCGACCCCCCCCAACCCCCCCCCCCCCCCCCCACACACACTTTTAAATTAGAAAAATTTCTAATTGAGCCAGTCGGTACTTTCTGCGCGGAGTTTGCATGTTCGCGTGGGTTTTCCCCGGATACTCCCACAGTCTAAAAACATGTACACAAGTTAATTGTAATAACAGTCACAAGCACTTGATGCATACATACTGAATCAATTAAAACCACCACATTAACTAAAGTATAGGTACCGGCTCTCGAGAAATACCTGATCTTGTATCTTTCTTAAAGCTTATTGACCAGGCGGGAACCTTGGGCTCATCTATCTCCGAGCTTAGGATTCTCTCCCAGGACAGCATGCCAAACCTGCTATCATAGTCGAGCATTATCTAAGTGTGAACTCTAGAAGGCTAATTTAGTTTATTCAATCCACCAATAGCGAATGTCTTTGGACTGTGGGGGAAAACGGAGCACCTGGAGGAAACCCATGCCAACACGGAGAGAACATGCAGACTCCACACAGAAATACCAAATGACCCAGCCGAGACTTGAACCAATGGCCTTCTTGCTGTGAGGCGATTGTACTAACCACTGCACCACCATGACGCCCATCGCAGTGATCTAATGGGTCAAAATCCACATTAATGCACTAACTAAAATAATCCTAATGGATTTTTTTTCTGTATCCGCTTAGAATTTCGTTTACGAATTTTAGATACTAAAATGTTAAAATTCATTAAATATATCAATTCATTTTTTTCCAAAGGGGTTTACACTTGAGGACATTAGTCAAAACAAATAATCAAAGCAACCACAGAACTACAAACAAGGAAATAATAAAATACAAAAGGGATTGTTAGTGTTTGAAGAACCAACCAAATCCAACGTTGAGCCAACGTCTTAAACCAGCGCCATATTAACGTCAAATACTGAAAATAAATTCATAAAATGTACTCAGGGTAAAGTAAAAGTACACGTTTTTGTAGCTACTTACTAAATCACAAATCTTGAAAAAAAAAACTACTCATAGTAAATTGTGTATTGGTAATTTGTTACTTTACACCACTTAAAATTAATTGGTAAAATGTGCACTGCTCAAAATTGACATCTTTAATATATGTTTAAATATAGTGATGGTATTTCAAAGGTCTATCTTGAAGCTCATTTCATATATATGGAGCATAGAGAATGCAGTTCAACCCAACTGTGTTTAAGTATTTGAACAGTACTCCAACAAACTAGACATACTCTGTGTGTAGTGTTAGGTACTAGTTTTTATTAATTTGTTTAATGTAAACTTCATTGTTTAGTAAATATGTTTAAGTGTGAGATATAAGTCTATATAAAGTTCGTTCTGCCCTGAAGAGGGCAGTAGATATTAACATTTTATCTTCACTATGGTTCAATTTAAGAATTTATTTTAACCATTAAATTAATTAAACACTGCTGAAAAAAACAACTTAAACCAGCCTAGGTTGGTTGGTGGGTTTTGGCTGTTCAACCAGCCTAGTTTTAGAGGGGTTTGGCCATTCCAGGCTAGTTTTCAGCCATTTCCAGTCTGGTCTTAGCTGGTCAGGCTAGAAGATGCACTGCAAAAAAAAAGCTTTACTTACTTAGAGGTTTTGTTTGAAAACAAGTCTTGTTTTCAGAAATAATATGCCAATATTAAGTGAGTTTTTCCATAAAACAAGCAAAATAATTCTGCCAATGGGGTAAGCAAAATCTTGTTTTTGCTTTTGACATTATTTTTCTTACCCCATTGGCAGATTATTTTGCTAGTTTTGAGGAAAAACTCTTTCTAAAAACAGGACAATGTTTTGGTAGCTTAGAAATGCTTCTTGATTTAGGAATTTTTAGATATTTGGACTAAAAACAAGGCAAGTAAGAAACTAAGGAAGAAAATCATTTGTTTGCAGTATGACCAACTGAAACCAGTAAAAAAAAAATTTTATTAAAAAAAAGTTATTTCTGTTCATTACAAAATCTTTTACAAAAGTCGTGGTTAATACGACGATAACACTATTCCAATCATAATAACAACGTAATAATAATAAAATTCATTACAATTCAAACAAATCAGCACATTTTAATTATCGCATGTGACACTGTAATGAAGATTCAGCGCATTTAGAGATATTAGATATTTTGAAATACATTAAAATAAGTTATTTTTAATTTTATTACTATATATGTGCAAATGAAGCTATTTGTAACCCTTAACGTATTTTGAGGGAAAATATACAAACATCGGTGAGCGAGAAACTTCCAAAAACAGAAATCTCACCGAGGCCGAGTCCAAACATCAGCCACTAGTGTACATTTAGTCGTCCCACTGAAAGATGCTAACACGTCCGATCCATAGGCCTGGAGGCAGTTCAGCGCGATGAAAGGTCAGTCAAAGTAGGTGATGCAGTTTTTTGGAGGAAGGGGCGATCAATTTGTTGAGAAACTGGCGCATGTGTGGAGCTCGTGGGAGAAAGACGAGACAGGGTTTAGAAATGATAGTCTGCGTAGATTCTGCCTCAGGAGACCCGCGTTATTACGCGGAGGAACAGGCAGATAAATCCTGACTCAGGCCTTCCTGCAGGACACACATGCCTTACTGTTATAAAGCGTAATTAAGCAATAAAGTAATACCTCTCTTACGCTGCTAACTTTATGGTAACAGTTTATGACTGCTAAGAGATAACGGCCATAATATGAGCAGAGTACGACTAAAAAAAACTCAATCTTCAGGTGAGACGCCATCTTGAAAGCGATCAAATGGAGAACCTAAGGGAAAGATTTGGGCGCTCTATAAAAGTCCTACAAGCATAATTTTTATAACTCATTTTCTGTATGTTGAAGTATTTTTTTTTTCTTAGAAAGGTTAATTTACTGAACATCCTGAAAGAAACTGAACTATGGTTTTATAGGCCTTTATGGTTCTGGTGTATTGATTAGAACAAATACAACTGTTACATATTTTTTGTGGTTATATAGACGAATTACCGATTTGTAATCCCCTATACTCAAATAACTACTCGTTACAACTGCAGTATGCAGAAGAGCATCTTTGACTGCACAACATGTCAAACCCTGAGGCAGATGAGCTACAGCAGCAGAAGACCACACCAGATGTGACTCTTGTCAGCTAAGAACACAAAACTGAGGCTACAATTTACACAGGCTCACCAAAATAGGACAATAGAAAATTGGAAATACTTTGCCTGGTCTGATGAGTCTCAATTTCCGCTGCAACATTTGGTAGGTTCAGAATTTGGCATCAACAACAAAAAAGCATGGATCTATCATACCTTGGATCAAAGGTTTTGTCTGGTGGTGGTGGTGTAATGGTGTGGGAGATATTTTCTTGGCACACTTTAGGCCCAATAGTACCAACTAAGCTCCCTATCAACGCCACAGCCTACCTGTGATGGCTACTTCCAGCAGGATAACGTGCCATGTCATAAAGCGTGAATCATCTCAGACTGGTTTCTTGAACAGGACAATGAGTTGACTGTAGTCAAATGGCCTCCACAGTCACCAGATCTCAATTCAATAGAGCACCTTTGGGATGTGGGGGAACGGGAAATTCTCATCTTAGATGTGCAGCTGACAAATCTGCGGCAACTGCATGATGCTATCATGTCAACACGGACCAAAATTCTCTGAGGAATATTTCCAGTACCTTTGTTGAAGCTATAAAACTAAGGATTAAGTTTATAAAAGGCAAAAGGGGGTCCAACCCAGTACTAATAAGGTGTACCTAATAAAATGGCCGGTGAGTGTATATGACATGGGTAATATTTTTAAACATGCATATTTAAAATGTAAAAATTTTTTAAATGGTTAAAAAAATGAACAAATATATGGCCGTATATGACCATCATATTATGTAGGTCATAAATGTAATTTGCATGTATTGCCATTTATCAGATTCATATGTGGGCATGGGCAGCACTCTATTCTGTTTTGCTTTTTTAATTTCAAAATAAATCAAAAGACCTGACAAAATCCTATTCACAAATCTTTCCGTAGATCAACAGTGAAAGAAAGAGATGGATTAAAACACCAGGTGTAAATGGGAGCGCGTCTTCTTCACCTAATAGTCAATCTACTACAATCACAGGGCCTTTGGTTGGCTTTAATTTCCACTTTAAAGGCATCTTCAGTAAAATTGCTCCATAATTAATAAGCCAAATGCCAAAAATGCAACTCAAAGCAAGGAAAGCTGTTTTACAGAAAACAGAAGTTTGTTGTGTGCATAAACTCGACTGAATGCTTTCTTTTCTTTATTGTACAATAGTAAATATGGCACTACCCTATACAGTCAATAAGCTATAGTTTGTCCATCCATGTCTTAACAGATGAGTCAGCTAGTCTGGAATGTCTAGTCAGTCCTTCTTAAGCCCACGCCTTCAGAAAACACAGGTTAGCTGGAAAATGCATGGTAATACTCCACTCAATGCTCTCAATAGTTAGCTGTTGGTTAGCTTGGTTGCCTGGTGCTGAATTGATGCAGTGGAATGGAAGAGAATGCTGAGTGCTGGAGGCCCATTTACATGCAAAAGAGTGAATAGAAATCACAGCACGGTGCAGTGGTGAGAGAGAGAGAGAGAGAGAGAGAGTGTGTCATGAAAAAGATGAGTTAAGGATGCCGCTGGGGACAGTCTGAGGCCAGAAGCAGAGTTGAGCAAAATTAAGACATGCTTCAATTAACACCTGCGCTGTTACACTCGGTGCCTCATGGAAAACCTAATGTGCATTCAGACTGTCAAAGTATTCTTTAAAAGGCTTAATAGAAACACACAGCAGATTAATATTGCTTTCAAGAGTTCCCACTTAGATATGCTTGGCACTTATAGCAGGTTTGACATGCTGTCCCGGGAGAGAACCCTGAGCTCGGAGATATTTGAGCCCAGGGCTCCCGTCCGGTCTAGAAGCATATCAGGAGAACCGAGATCAGGTAGGTCTCGATCGCTCCCCCTTTAGAGAGGGAGAAAAAGGAGGAGATGTGGTGGAAGGGGGGATTCTTCCAAAACAAAGATAGTGCAATAAGGAGAAAGTGATCCATTTATATTAAGCTAGGATCATTCTGATTGGATTATTACTGATTACGGATGAGTGGCCAGCGGTGCACAATCATATAACATGCTCCTCTAGAAATTAGTTTATGAAACTTCACTTGTCATTTTAGATGTTCTGTTTTGCATTTTAATTTCATGATGCTTTAATAATATTGTTCAACTTTTATCATTTCTTTAATTTGTTTTCAATTTAAATTATTATTTCAGTAAGTGAGCGACGCGGCAGCTCAGTGGTTAGCACTGTCGCCTCACAGCAAGAAGGTCGCTGTTTCGAGTCCCTACTGGGTCAGTTGGATTTCTGTGTACAGTTTGCATGTTCTCCCTGTGTTCGTGTGGGTTTCCTCCGGTTTCCCCCACAGTCCAAAGACATGCGCTATAGGTGAACTGAATAAACTAAATCGACTGTATGAGTGTGAATGAGTGTGTATGGATGTTTCCCAGTGATGGGTTGCAGCTGAAAGGGTATCTGCTGTGTAAAACATATGTATAAGTTGGCGGTTCATTCCTCTGTGGCGACCCCTGTTTATTAAAGGGACTAAGCCAAAGGAAAATGAATGAGTTATTTCAGTTAGTGTTTTTAGTGATTTAACTTGAACACATTTATTCCAGTTAAAGGGATAGAAGTTCATTAGTTCATCCAAAAATTAAAATTCTGTCATCATTTAAGCGCCTTTCACTTGTTTCAAATCTGTTTGACTGTTTGTTTTTTCGGTTGAACACAAAAGAAGTTAGTTTGAAAAATGTTATCATTGATTTCCATAGTATTTGTTTTTCCCATGAATGCCAGGGGTTACCGATTTTTCATAACTTATTTTTGAAACACATAAAGATTTGGAAAGAGGTTGATTTTATGACGTCATTGATGATGCGCTAGACTCAGATGAAGGGCAGGAAGGCAAGGCAAGTTTATTTATATGGCACATTTCACACACAGTGGCATTTCAAAGTGCTTTTCATAAACAGGAATAAAAAGACAAGAATAAGAAAATAAAAACAAATAATAAAACTGATTAAACACAGATAAAAACGGATGTGTTAAAACAGGTTATAAAAGAATGAAAAAGAAAATAAAGACATAACAGTGTGATCTGTCAGACGTAGCACAGTCCTCATGCAGTAAAGGCACAGCTAAACAGATGTGTTACTAATGCCTAATGTTGGAGCACATCTGATCATTTCTGGAAGCTGATTCCAGTAGCGAGGGGCGTAGTTGCTTAAGGCCGATACACCCTGCTTTGGCTGAACTCTTTGAATTTCTAGTTTATTTGATCCTAGTGATCTGAGTGATCTGTTAGGTTTGTATTCAGTGAGCAAATCTGTAATGTATTGAGGTCCTAGGCCATTTAGTGATTCATAGACCAGTAAAAATGCTTTAAAGTCTATTCTGAATGTAACTGGGAGCCAGTGTAAAGACCCGAGGACAGGTGTGATGTGCTCTGATTTTCTGGTTCTGGTCAGAACCCTGGCCGCAGCGTTCTGAATCAGCTGCAACTGTCCTACTGTCTTTTTAGAAGGCCCATGAGGAGGCCATAACAGTAATCCAACATTTTTTAACAAGTTAAATTAAAGATTGGGCGGCACGGCTGTTTAGTGGTTAGTTGGCGGTTCATTTCACTGTGGCGATCCCTGATTAATAAAGGGACTAAGCCGAAAAGAAAATCAATGAATGACAGTTGAAGGTTTAAAAAATAATACATGTGTGTGAATGAGAGTATATGGGTGTTTCACAGTGCTGGGTTGCAGCTGGAAGGGCATCCGCTGTGTAAAAACATATGCTGCATAAGTTGGTGGTTCATTCCGCTGTTGTGGCCCCTGAAGAATAAAGGGACCAAGCTGAAGGAAAATTAATGAATTCATTTAATTTTATTTTCGCTACACTGAAAAGGCTTTTTGTTCATTTGTTAGGGTTGCACAATACTGGAGTTTTGCAGATTTTTACTTTTATTTATCTTAAAAATATTAAAAAAAAATCTCTTAAAACACTGTGCATTCACACTCAAATCATAAATGACAGAGAAATATTTAATTTTATAATAATATTCCTTAAAATGTGTTTGTTATACAGTGCTCCGCATATACAAACCTCTCTTTTAAATTCATGTTTAATAGGAAGCTATTATATTTGTGCATTAGATTAGTCAGTACTGAAGCCAAATCTGGAGCTAATCTAACAATATAACTTTCGATAACAGTCCAAAAATTAATCACCCAAATTTATATGTTGTAGAAAAATATTCAATACAAATTAAAAAATAGGAAAAATCAAGAGAAGCAAAAAAAAAAGTAAAAATTTAGTCGAAATTTTGTAAGTTGTAATTTTTTTGCAATGTTTTGCTTGAATTTAAATGTATAATCTTTCAAATTCTCAATTTCTTCTGTGACTAAAATAATATTTTAATAAA